TATGCGTGGGGGGCATGGGTGTACTAAGGAGGCCTTGCAGAAAACAACATGGAGTGTTTTTTTGCAATAACTAACAACAGGCTCTTCTAAATGACAGTCAAAAAGCAATGTGTGTGTAAAAATGAAAATTGAACAATTACCACCACACACTTTCTCCAATTTTTTTGACTAAAACTATTGCATTAAATGCATCAAAACACATATACAATACTGTGGGGTGTCAACTTTTCAAATATATGCATGCTCGTGGCAGGAAAATAAATTGGGATATCTGAAAAGGCAGAGGGGAGGATTTCTGATGTAATGAATGGGAGTGTTAGCTGTGTTGTAATGTGTTGATTGGCTGTTCTTCAAAACCCTGTGGACAGTACTATGTTTGTAGAATGTGAATAAAAGAGGCTGTATGTGCCAGTACAGTCAGTTCTACTTCACCCTCAATTTGGAGTACCGTCTCTTATTGGGGGGAATCTGCTACAAGGGATTGCTATGCTCTGCTGGGCCCACACAAAGGAATTCATCAAGGTAGTGGACGACAGCACCGCCCCCGTCTCCTTTTCGAGAAGTGCTAAGCTCCCTTCAAATATGACAAATTATGTATCAGCCTGAACTTACCGGCTTCCTTTTTGGGTACCACCCCCAATGGTGAAATCCGCAAATCGGCCAAGGGAGGGTCAGCAGAAGGACCTGCCATTCTACCCAACTGGACCTCCTTAAGCAGCTTTTCCCTCCTCACCCCAGTGTGTTCTGTAACAGACTTCAAATTACCACACCGCATCCGACCGCCTGCTCCTGGAACAAAAAATCTCCCGGAAAACCCCTCAAACAATAACTTTGCATCCTCCTGGTTAGCGTTCCTGGCTTAGCCAGGGCAACATCGTGCCAACCCTCACTGGAGTTGACCCCAGTGGGAGGCGATGAGACTGCGGTACCCCCAACGCCTTTGGTGGCGGAAGTCTTACCACACTTACACTGACTTTAATTAAAGAGCCAGCAAAAACTCTTCTTTTGTCCAGCCGATGAAGAGGCGAACGAACTTCCGCCGCCTCCCCCCCCCCCCGAAAAGGGGGCCGCTTTTTGCACCATCATTAATTTCATCCAGAGTGATTAGGTCCATCTGGTCCCACCGCATTCCCGGATTTGCCGCCAAAGGCTGGCGAAACTGCTCATCGTACTTCCACCACGCCAATCCTCATAAGCCTCCCAGATTCCATCTAAATAACAAAATAATTGCAAGCACCGGTCCGGCGCCTTCTCCCCCACCATGCTCGGCAAGATGCAAAAGGCCCGCAACCAATTGACAAACAACTTGGGTATCTTCCGATACTGCCTCCGCTTTATCTCATCCTCCTTCTTTTTTATCCTCCTCCTTCAGATCAATGAATTCATCTAATGGATGGAGGGAAAAAATCTCAAGAAACTCACCATGTCATATCTTCTCCTTCACCTCCAGTTTCAGATGACAGCCCAATGGCCCCGCAAAGGACACATGGAAGTTCTGTCTAGCCATATCCGGGATCTCCCCCATTAACTCCTCCAGTTTGCGGACAGCCCCGGAGGCCACCACCCCGACAGGAGAGGCAGCCTCACCACCTTGCCTACTCGTACCGACTATCACCAGCGTCGCCACACCAACCCCCGCAACGGTTGCCAGAGGATCCTATACCTGGCTAAAATGTGGCACCCCTGCCCCTTTCTAGTCCCATGTTAACAAAAAAGACTTTAAACAACCCAAGAGATCCCCTGTGTGTGGTGCAGAAACTGACTCACCGCCAGAACCCCCAGCCTTAGCAGGACTCGGGGACATCGTCCTTTCATCAACCTCCTCTAGGCCCGTAGCATTGTGTACTCGATCTGCAGCCTAATCCCATCAAGGGACCGTGGAAGAGAGAACCGTGGACCTGCGGGGAAAAGACAACCTGGATACAGTGCTCACTCGAGCCCCAACCCGCCCATCCGCCCAACACTCCCTCCGACCGCACTCACTGTCCCGGCTCTAACAGCCGCATCCAAGTCCCTCCCATTAAGTGAGCTCCCGCTGGAAGACCTGGAAGTGCCTTCTGCACCTCACCATCCTGCCTGGGGAACCTGACCGCCTTCTGCCATTGCGCCTGACTTAGGGGCTCCTGTCCCTGCCACACCTATGGGATGCCTCCTGTCCACCCTGTGCTGATCCCTGTCCCTGTGACACTCCTCGCAAGTTCTGTGCCCGGACCCATCCCGTGACCTGCCATGCATGTCCTGGAAGCGGCCACCACTGTACTCCCACGAAGGAGAAGACTCCTGTGCTCCATCTTCCTTGCGCCCTGACTCTGCTCAAGATCCTGTGTGCCTGCACCCCCCTCAGAGGCGCTGCTGGGACTGAGCTCCCTGCCATCGACCCATTGCTGCCAGTACCTACCAGGGCTGCTGTCCCCCCTGTCGCTGCACCTTCCTGGCCGCCAAGGAACTGCTGCCTTATCTACCGTTCTGGCCCTTCGCATGACCCGGGCCGCCCCACACCCCACTACCACTCAGGAAAGCCAGGGACCTGGCCCACTCCATCCTGGACCCAGTTGTACTGACCCCTGCCCCTCAACAGTGAGGTCACTGGAGACAGACTCCTTGCGTCCAGGGGCACCTCATGGGATGACCTCCGACCCGGCAGCATTCCTGTCCACACCGGAGCCCACACTCCTCCGTCCACTCCCGTCAACTGCCCGATGGCGGGGCACACTCCACCCGCTCAGCTGCGTCCTGGGTGACCTCCATGGCCGCCCACACACTGGGCCTCCGTGAGGGGCAGTTGTCCCAGTGCTGACAGGGTCGCTGCTCCCATCTAGACCCCAACCGGACCACTCATCCCCGCTCCGTTGGGGGAAGGGCTCCTGCACCTCCGCTGAGTCGGGACAGCACCAGGGCTCAGGGCACCTAGTCGCACCTTCAGCAACTTGATCCCACGATCGTTCACCGACGCCACACACCGTCCAGGAACTCTTCAAACGAAGCCATCTGCAAGAAAGAGAAGAAATCCAACACAGAACTGCAAGACAACTCACAAGTAAGTGTTCAATTAATTAAGATGGCCACTTCACAAATTGCCGTCCAACTGACCCCACCCCCACCACCTGAAACCTTGGCCAAAACTACAACTCCCACAATGTCAACGCCCATTCCTGTGGCTGCACTGCTCCATAGACTACAGGGTAATGTGTTAATCATTGGAGATTTTAATTATCCATACATTGATTGGGCTAGAGGTACTACTAGTACAGTTAAGAAAAACTGTTTGTTTTTTAAACCTGATAAATTAGATTTTCATGTCTTAATTAGTAGAAGCACAAACTAGAACAGATGCTTGTATGGATCTTCTCATAATTAACAATGTTTACTTAATTTTAAATGTTAGGGAGTATTTGGGAAATAGTTACCATAATTTGGTATCATTTGAGATTTACACAAAAACCCTATTCTATATGGGCTGTACAAAAACGCAAAAAAAAAAAGGCTAAACTCAATAGGATATAGGAAATATAAAATAAGCTAATTAAAACCAGTGTGGCTTAGTAAAAAGGTCAGTGAAATAATAAATGAACAGAAAAGTGCATTCAAAACATTTATAGCATCCTATAACAAATATAAGCATGCCAATAGAGCTTGCAAAAGGGTTATTAGAAGAGCTAAACTTGAAAATGAAAAGTTCATAGCCAAAGAGAGCAGGACCAATCCCAGAAAGTTTTTAAAGTACATTCATACCAACATGTCTAAGAAATGAAGTGTTGGCCCATTGGAATCTGAGATGGGTGAGTTAACCTATTAACATTTCCAGCGTTCCATGCTGTTCACAAGTCAATGGGCTTTAAAGTGGTGGCATGGAATGCTGTAATGGCTTTGAGCCCCAGGAGCCGCTGGATACCTACCTCTGTGGCGATCCACTTCTGGTGGACTGCCTTACAGCCGAGGCCCACAGATCTGCCTGCAAAGGGACTGCTCTGGCTAAATTTGGCCAGTGTTTGTGACCAAGTGGCTACTAGAAAAGACTGAACATACATTATCTTAAATACTCTGGGTTGTGTACTTTTTCAAAAGGTATGCAATGATGGGGGTAATTTTCATTCCTGGGCTGCTGTACGGTCTCAAAGGCATCATAAGCAATCTGGCAAATTTCAATGTGTATAAACTAAAAAACGGAAAGTACTATATTTGACCCTGTAAATATCCAAAACCCCATAAACCCTGTACATGGGGGTACACTTGTACCCATAAGACATTGCTGAACACAAATATGTGTGTTTTATTGCAGTAAAAGCTAACAATATTATAATATTTACAGTAAAAATGCCAACTAGAACTAAGAAAATACCTACATTTCTTCATCTCTCACACTTTTTTAGATTTTATGTTGTATATATAAATATTTGATATGAAATGAAAGCCCTCTTCTGAACAAAATTATATATATAATATATGCACTTAAAATGAAATAGGTAAATTATGGTTGAACAGACATATAGTCAAATTCCAGGTTTTGTATTGATTTTGCTTTGATCAAAACATGTACAATCAGCCTGTCCTTAACCCCGTAACGCTGGATGACGGACCCGGTCCGTCATGCCGGGGAAGCAGTTAACGCTAATGGTAACCCCAGATCACGGAGATTGCGGTGATCGCAGGGTTAACACTCCTCCGGTCTGCCTCAATATTACTCGAGTGTCAACTTTTATTTTTTGTAACCTTCAGGGGTTACATTTATTTTATTAATAATTTAACTATATTAAAATTATATATTAAGCTAGCTGGGGTGGGTTGAAGTTAGAGGGGAATTGGGGAATTTGGTGTTAGGCTAGCTAGGGGTTAATGTTAAAAAAAGTTTTAAAAAAGGTTTTTAAACGTTAAAAAAAAAAATGCGTGGCCTGACGTCAAGTGAGATGGAAGCACACTAAACGAGCTCCGCTTCCACGGACTCCATAACGCGACTAAACCAGGCATTCTTGGTGTAATCTCCGACCCTAACATCAGGAGCGATGTCCCAACACCGCGCAAAGAAAACCGCGGAGGCAAAAGATAAATCAGCCTTCTTTGCAGCCAGAATGCCACAGCACAAACCCGCTGACCATCAGACCCAAGATGGTGCCGACCCAGATTATGATGCGGACTGCGTCTGCATAGCGGGTAAACAAGAGGATGTCCCTTTAACACAGAGGTTCCTGCAAACCATGCTGGATGCAGCGGTTCCCAAAATGCAAACCACCGTTACAGAGGCTATTAATGACATGAGAAAATACCTCACTGACCTGGATGCATGTGCCTCCCACCTCGAGGACAATATGGAAAACCTCACTACGGCACATAATGCGACAGAAGTACGCCTCAGCAAAATTGAAGAACAACTTTACATCCACGAGACTAAAATTGAAGACAGAAGATAGATCACGTCGCAAAAATATACGCCTGAGAGGAGTACCAGAAGATGTAGGGGCACAAGATTTAACGGCCTACTCTGTGGCAATGTTTCAAGCTATACTGCCTGATATCCCAGCAGACATGTTCCTCTTGGATCGCATACGTAGGCTTCCCAGACTGCAGCATCTACCGCCCACTACTTCGAGGGATGTCCTTATGAGACTTCATTACTACCACATCAAAGACCAAATTCTACGGGCACATAGAACCAAAAAGAACTTACCTGCCCAGTTCAAAGGCAGGCATTCTAATGTTTATGGACTTATCCGCAGAGACATTACGCCGAAGAAGATCCTTCAAGGGCATAGCGGACGCACTGAGACATCATAACGTCCCGTATCGCTGGGGCTACCGGGCCAAACTCCTTATCACAAAAGGGGGTAAGCTCATCACAGCAACCACACCAGATAAGGCATTGGACCTTTTGCGGCAATGGGGTATGTCTCGGAACCTACAGCCAACCCTCCAGAACCCCGGCAAATCCCTGCCCGAAGAATGGCGTCCTCAGAAAACAAGACGCACATCCCCGAGAGAAGACTGAAGACACTCGGCAAGATACAGCAAGTTTTAACCCAGTTCAATTTAATACCCACCTTTTATAAATTGTGTTAAAATGTGATGGGAATACACAGTATAATTCGTATACTAATACCCATATCTTGAGACCCCGAGACTCACCCTCTTAAGGAGGGATGTGTGACACCTCACCACTATGGTCATGGCCTCAACCGTTACACTTAAGGCATTTTACTGCCCATAGAGGCATTGGTTGCTCCAACCACTAAATCTTAAATAACAAATAAAGGTCGGAGAGAAACCAAATCCCAATGAGCCCGAAGCGGCCTCCGAAAAGTGCAGAGGTGAGTTACAAAATCAATAAAGGGGATGGGAAACATTAACCCCTTAAGGACTGAGCCAAATATACATGTTGTGATCAAAACAAAATGTAAATAAAAACTTGAATTTGCGCTCTATGTCTGTTCAGACGTAATTTGCCACTTTCATATTATATGCACCCACACTTATTATATATAATTTTATTCAGTGGAAACAGGGCTTTCATTTAACATAAAAAATATAGGTATGAAACATAATTTAATATGAATAAAATATCAAACAATGTGAGAAAATAAAATTTGTAAAAAAATTTTAGTTCTATGTGACATCGACGATATTTTTTTTATATGGAAGGGGTCCAGAACTTCTTTGGATCTCTTCTTGGAGGGTCTTAACGACAATTGCAGAAATATTGTTTTGACTAGTCAAATTAGCCAAACGTCAGTTCAGTTTTTAGATCTAGAGATTTATGTCTCCAACAACCATATCCTCACCAGAACCTATTTTAAACCGGTGGATGTCAATGGGTACATTGACACCACGAGTTGTCATTATGATCCGTGGTTGTGCAATGTACCCAAAAGTCAATTCAACCGCATTTTCAAAAATTGCAGTGACATTAAGGAATATGAAGAACAGGCGGGACGATTAAAAAACTTTTTTGTTGAAAAGAAGTATGATCCAACCACTTTAGATCACCAAATCCAGGAAATTAAACAACTAAATAGAGAGTCCCAGTTAGAATATAAAGATAGACAAGCAACTAAACAAACAGAGGAACCCCTTTTAATTTTGGACTATAGTGGTGATGCTAAACATATAAAATCTATTGTTCAGAAAAACTGGCACATCCTAAAAACCGATGAAGGTCTTAATAACATCATTAGTGAAAAACCAAAAATTGTATATAGAGGCACAAAAAATCTCCAAAGTCTATTGGTTAAAAACCATATAAAAACTCAGACTGCTAATACTAATATTTTTAACCAAAAATATGGCTTCTATCCATGTAAAATGTGCACAGTTTGCAAAAGAACAAAATCTAAGAAAGACACACACACTAAATTTACTTCTAACATATCCAAAAAGGAATATAAGATCAATTCTATCCTCACCTGCCACTCTAGTAATGTGATATACCTCCTCTGGTGCCCTTGTGGACTCCAGTATGTGGGAATGACCACGAGAACATTAAAAACCCGCATGCTGGAACCCTTGGGCAATATACAGAGGGGTTATGCCAAACATAGTGTCTCCGCACATTTCTTACAATGTCACAACAGTGATCCTTCGCATGTTAATTTTATTGCCATTGCTCAAAAGAAAAAGGATTGGAGGGGTGAAGATAATTTCAAAGAACTCTGCAAAATTGAAAGTAGGTGGATATTCGAATTAAACACTTTATCCCCTAAGGGCTTGAATTTAGATTTCGAATTGGCTCATTTTTTATAATTAAATTTTCTCTTTTCTTTCACACACCAATCCTATTCTATATGGGCTACATTTACATAACCTAGATGTGATGTATACCTTTAAGATACCACATACTATGTGCCCATATGTTGTTGTTTTTTATTAATACATATATATTCCTTTTTTTTTTCCTTTTGGTATGCAGCATTGCACTATTGTTGCTATTTGCACAAATAGTTATGTCTCTTTTCATGTTATAAATGACTACCTATATGTACACACTTTATAATATATGAAAGGTGCCCATCTTTAATATGGAGCTTTTTGCTTCATTTGGGCAAATGTACTAACAAATCTATTTGAAACTGACATAAGGTATTATGTGTTTATAATGTTGTTTACCAATTAATTTTCTCTTTTATACATATCATTGTATGATTACTGCTATTTGTATAGACAATTATGTCACTTTTCTTAGTATAAATCATTGTTCCTGTATGCACTCTAATAATCATATAATATGCCCATTCACTACATGGAGTTTTCAGCTTCAACTGGGCAAATGCATTGAATACAATCAAGCAGGAAAATGAATGCTGAAATACCGGAAGTGACGTCAGACGCCGGCCACTCGAACTTCCGCCCATGTGACCGGCAATTAGAATAAGCAGTGATTTTAAAATGGAACAGCAGCTGGATGTTTTATGCACTGATGAAAACTCGGACTGAGTTGAAACGCGTCTGCATGACTGTGATTCTGTGTGTCACCATATGGGACCTGCACAGTTACTATTTTAATTTTTAATTTTTACTTACAATAAATTTATTATTTTTTATTCATCCTTCTGCTGCTGTTTTTTCCTACTTCTGGGGGATATTATTCAAGATTCTCCACAGAGCCTTCTGAGGCACCCTTGGGCACCATATACAGAGCCTGGCACGGCTCTGAAATCCGTGAGTGTATTCAATCACTTCCATATTTCCTTCTTCTGTATATACAGGCTATACTATGTACTCTTTTTTATCTTTATAGGTTTTTATATGGACCATCTCCTATATGTACCTGTACATGTATAAGTATTATTATTGCCTGTTTTGATACACAGGGAGTGGTGTGTGTATTTGGCACTTGTTGCTTTTAGTACCTTTTTCTATTACTTGACTTTAGGGTGTTGGGGAACACCCTTTCCACTCCAACTGTGCTCCTGTTTTACTGTGTAAGCGCCATTCACTTTTCTTCTTTTTTGTATCTATGTGACATTTTAACTGTAAATATCATAAAATTGTTTGCTTTTACTGCAATAAAATACACATATTTGTATTCAGCAATGTCTCATGTGTAAAACAGTACACCCTATGTATAGTTTGTACGGTGTTTTGGGAAGTTACAGGGTCAAATATAGCATGTTACATTTTTCATTTTTTTTCACATTGAAATTCACCAGATTGGTTACGTTGCCTTTGAGACCGTATGGTAGCCCAGGAATGAGAATTACCCACATGATGGCATACCATTTGCAATAGTAGACAACCCAAGGTATTGCAAATGGGGTATGTCCAGTGTTTTTTAGTAGCCACTTGGTCACAAACACTAGCCAAAGTTAGCTTTATTTGTTTATGTGTGAAAAATGCAAAAAACTAATTTGAACGCCAATTTCTACTTTTTTTTACTGATGCTGCATCAGGGTCCTGGGATGTGGCCGAACAAACGCTGGTGCTCAACACCAGGGGGCGTGCGGTTACCATGCACGAGACCCTGCTAATCCATTCCATTATACTTTGACTCCTAACTTCAACATCAGGCATACTGGGTCCCAGTGTCTGGGTCCTGGCCCCCGGACTGCCCATCTGACTGTGAAACTACGAATGGATAGTTAAATCTGGTACGAACCCGAACTTTGCAGTTCAGGTTCGCTCAACTCGAATATGGATCCTTTGATCGCTACATGTATTACTTGGATAACTGGTAATTCTCGAACTAATACATGCCGACGAGCACTAGGGGACGGCCGCTCCGCTTTTGCACCCTTCTCCCTCTTATGCTGTGCTTGTGCCTCTGTGCGACCAATGCCTCTTCCTCCAAACTGCACACGTCACTCTCATAACCTTGATTCCATGTGGGGTCTAGGACCTCATCATCCTCCATATCAACATCCACCCACTCCTCAACCCTGCCCTCCTTGCCGGTATGCACAGCGCAGAAAGCCACAGCAGTTGGCACCTGTGTTTTTCCAGCATATAAAGTCTGCAAAGGACAAATGGAAATTGTTTTAGAATTGTATCCAGGCAACAGTTTTCCCTATAAACTGACCTCTCAGTTTGACTTGTGAGGGTATTGCCCCAGAATTACAATATTGTTTAAGTACCTCTTAGCTATTGATAACTGGTTTAAATATAGCAGCTTGTTATCTGGTAGTTTCTGGTGTAGAAAATATCAATCTATTTTCTATCACTTAGATCTGTGTAACAAGTGTTGTAGGTGTGAAACAATATTATTAAAGTGATCGATGTAATAAATTTAAATCAGAGTTAAGCTTCGATTTGACTCTCAGATATGAAGTGGAAAAGCGACGCTAGTCCCAACATCTCAGAAGTGATAACCAGAGTCAACACTACAAGTAACCATGAAAATGAATGTGCTAAGAGAGGGAATATGCACAAATTCCTAGACCAATGGGTCAACTGGGAATCTTCCGAATAAAGTAGTTATTGATCC